TACAGAATTATTAGCACAGCCTGGCTTGTTCTTCCCATCTCTTTTAACATTTGTAATGGCTGTTACTAGGTAAAGAAGGTAAATTCGAAAGCCCTGCTTTCTCTTTTCTCTGAAGAAGCACAGTGAGATCCTGCTGCTCTGAAACAGTTTATTAGAATAGCTCCAGCATGCTCTTTATAAAGGCTCTCCTCGAGGTGGAGTGGGAAATCCCTGGACGGGGAACTCCAGAGGAGGGAGGAAGAGAGCCATATCGGGCAGCGCTGGTGAGGTCCGCACACTGCTGCTTTTTTTAAGACAGAATTTAAAGCCCAGGAAAGCAATAAATATTAACACTTGTAATACAGTGCCTACTAGACTTAAAAAGACCAGGTCAAGATCTAGTCCTGCAAACAACTGACAAAAGGAAAGAACGTGAGTAATTCCAAGTAACTGAATGTCACTACATCTCAGACAGAAAAGTTATTCAAGATTGCTTTCAGTGCAAATATTTTTGTAGGGCTGAGTCTTGAGACTACTTCTAACAATGCTCAGTTCCATAAATAACTTTACCTAACTTAGTATTCCCTTTGAAAACTGTACTACCAGCTTAAGAGGTGATGTTACTCATGTTCCTAAGTATTTTTGATCCCTAAAAATGAAGAAATAAGTCAGATAATAGAAGTCTGGAGATCCAACTTGGTCAGCTTGAATCAGGCTCTTCCTGTTCGAATGAACTGAATGAACTAATTTTCCCAATTCCACTTTAAAAACATCTCTAAAATGTCCCTCTTTCAAGATGCTATTGGTATGCCTTACATTACTGATACATCTCTCAGATCTCTTATGTCCTGTTTATGTATAATTGAAGCACAGCAGTTGATAATACAACTCGAGGATTCTTTTCAATGTTTGGTTTCCAGTGGGTATATGAATCCAATTGGGAATATTTCTGAGGACAACTATTACTGGCTAATATAGCGATAATGTTATGAAAAAAGTAAACTAACATTTTCAGTGTTTTATTTTCAATTAAGGAATGCTATGAATGCAAAGAATGGATAAAGGTTTCCAAATCTCAATTGTTTATTTATGCAACTACTTGAGAAGTTCATATTGGTCAATTATGAATCACTAAATAAAAGCAGCAAGAAATTAAAACCAAAACATATGTTTTTATAATGTCTCTGGCAAATAATTTGCTATGTAATAGTTTGGCCATTCAATGTCTATGAAATACTGTCATCATATAGTATATTTTATAAACAACACAGATTCAAATATCTAGTAAATGAGTAATAACCTGGAAAAACAAAGGCTGAAGTAACAATGCTGTAAATGCTAAAGAAATTTAATTGCTGAAAAGCTGGCACTACATCAACATAATACTTTTGGAGTCAAGCAGATTTTATTGTTAATAACCTAATGCTAGCTCCAAAATACCATGTGAGAGTAGCACCAGGGGATATAAGGTTCCTGCTGGCCTATAGGCAGCATGTCTTCTTGAGGAACTATTTTTTTTCTGCTTTTTCCCTGAGTGCAGCTACCCCTACATTCGCATCCTCACCAAAGGATAGCTGGACAGTACAAGCTGCTACAGAAACACACTAGATAAAATAGAATCATAGAATCATAGAATTGTTATGTTTGGAAGAGACCTCAAAGATCATCAAGTCCAACCATGTACCCAACGCCACCATGTCCACTAAACCCACTAAACCATGTCTCGAAGCACCACATCTAAACGTTTTTTGAACACCTCCAAGGATGGTGAGTCCACCACCTCCCTGGCGAGACTGTTCCAATGCTTAACGACTCTTAAAGTGAAGAAATTCTTCCTAATATCCAACCTGAACCTCCTCTGGTGCAACTTGAGGCTGTTTTCTCTTGTCCTATCACTAATTACCAGGGAGAAGAGACCAACCCCCACCTCGCTACAAGAATAATAAGAAGGATTAACCACTTTTTTCATACACTTATCATAAACTCATAAATATAAAAGAGATGCAATTATTTTGGGAAGATAAAAATTGTGATCTCAGGCAGAAAGTATGTCTTCAAAATAATAATAATTAATAATAACAACAATACTCAGAAATATGAAAAAAAATAAACAAGACAACCCAAGAATTACTCAGAAGACAGTAAACCAGGGAAATTTGAAGCACCTAGCAGTGCCTAACCAAAAGTCACTAAAGATGAAATTCACTGAAACTGCCACAGTGGATTCTCTCATAATGTATTATTTTTATTATCATCATCATTGTTTTTGTTAGAGGAGGAGGAAGAGGAGGAAGAAAAAAAATTCTCATAAGTCTAAGGAAATGCAAGCAGAGTACTGTTCTGGAAGTACCGTTATCAAATCCAGAAATCCAAAATCTGTGCAGAGTATGTAACAACATCTACAGAATGTGATTTTGCCTCACAGAAAAGGGTTTTGTTGAAGAAAAGTGTACTCTCTTAGTTAAGTTGCAAATAAATACTTTTTAATCATATGCAGAGAGAAGCAAGAAATGAAACTCTTCTGTTTTGACTGCTTAAATAATCATAGGCTAAGCTGAAGGAGAAAAAGCAGAATGTCCCTATTTCTGGGAAATCAGCTTCTAGACACAAAAAGACAAAAGCATAGGAGGCCATAGCCACATGCTGGAAAAATTGTAATCAAGCCCTTCATCAGATAACATGAAATAGGAAATAACTCTGATCCAGCTCCCAGTAAATTAAACTGGACAGCTGCCACCAACTTTACTGGAGTTGTATCCTTACCAGAGGGCTACTATGCTGAGTGATCAGACAACTTTAACTCAGACAGTATAGGTAACAGCAGGGTTAGCCAACAAATATTACTAAAGGAAGTACAGATCTGCCAAGAAATTAAAAAATTTCTTAAAATTGCTCTTTACCCAACTTCAAATGTGAGCCTTCTATGTATTTTAAAATGAACATGTACTTTACTGTCGGTCCTACTACCCTCAACATCAACCTGCAAATAGGAAAATGGGTATCAAGTTTGCTTATTTTCAGAACTGGCTGTTTTGTCTGAAAACAAACAGAGATCAGATGACAAGTTTTAGCAGTTGACCTCAAGACTTCAGATAATCTAGTCTTTTTTTCAAATGGCACAGAGGAGGATGTGGGGATAAAAACAGAGATTCACAGTGAGATCAAGTATTATAGGATCAACTGGAAGAAATCCTGACACATGCAGAGCATAATGAAGACTGGAATGTAACAAGTATTACAAAAATATTGCTAAAGGTAAAAGAGATTAAAAGAATTAAGCACTGGGATATAAATGTATGTTTTCCAATATATCTAGTAATCAAAAGAGACTTTGTTCAGGCTTTGATGGAGAAACAAAGATAAAATAATTGTGTGTCTCAGAAGGGAATTAAGAAATACTGAACATACCGGTTTTGGCCTGGCATCGGAAAATACAGATGTCCTTCAGGAAACTGAAACTTACTTCAAACCTTTCTGGAATGTAAGAAAAGAAAACCATTTCAGAACTGTGCTAAGTGTTTGCTTTAACTCATACTTCTACAACCCTGCTAAATACCTACATGATATATTTCAATTAATTTCCTCTAGACAAAAGAGATAACAAGTTCTTGATATCTTAATGAATTATTTGAACAAAATGCACGTTAATAACATGTTAGTTATCCAACATTTCTAACCCTCTTCCTGCATTTTTAATGTACTGCACTGTCTATGGAGGCTATTAGGGGCAAGCTGAAAGGCTAAATCTCATGCAGAATTTGGTCTTTTAAAACCTTCACCATTGGTTTTGTGATCTATGGCCAAGGACCTGTGGAGAAAAGGGCTAATCCTAAAAAAAAAAAAAAGGAGGAAACTCATCTAATTCAACATTCTGTTTCCTGTGTCAGCAATACAATGCTTCATGTCACTTCATCCCAATATCTGCATCTACAGCCACCATTTGGAATTTCTGCTAAAAATATCCAGTGCTGGAATAATAAATTCTATACAGGGCCCCAACACAGAAACATATGGAACATGTTTATTACTAAGCATCTCTGTGTCCCATCAGCTTAAGAGTGCAGAATTGTTCTGTGGAAGGCACAGCATTCAGGTGGGAAGATGCAGATAAGTCTGACTCAACAACTCTTTAGCCTCAGATCATAGAGGTATTACAGCAAGTTCATACTTAGGTCCCTCATTCAAACTGCAGCCCTCACCCACCTGATGAAAGATCTCCTTGGGATGCGCGCTGGACATCTGAGTATAAGAAAGCCTCTTAGAGAGTTTCTGATGCTTTATGGAAGCAGCTGATATGAAGAGCTTTCACCCTA